GATACTTTGGTCACCTAATGCAAAGAGAGGATTCTTTGGGCAAGACCCTGATGCTGGGACAGATTGAAGGCAAAAGGAGAAGGGAACAGCAGAGGATGAGATAGTTAGATAGCATCACTGAAGCAATGAACTGAAACTGAGCAAACTCAGGGAGGCAGTAAAGGACAGGAAGGCCTGGCGCGATATGGTTCATGGGGTCACGAAGAATCGGACATGACTTAACAACTGAACAACAACATGATTGGAAAAAAATGAACATTGTAGCATGAGCTGTAGATTTAATTTTTATTTAGGGGTTCCCAGAGACCTGAAATTTGTTTCAAGGGCTTCTCCAGGATGAAAGGGTTGATTTAGAATGTATCCATGATCCTGGAATTAAGTTTCCCCTTAAGATAAAGTTTGAAAGAATCACTAATTTTAGAATTAAGATATCTGCCAGTTTCTTATAAAACAAGGTTCTCTGGGCCAGGTGATTTATGACTTCTCAAATTTGAGATAATTTCTTGTGCCTCTTTTGTGAAGGGAGAATTTAACTCTTCTCTATGGTGGTCTTAATGGTCTTATAATGGTGAAAAACACACTTTTTTAAATCATTACTAATTTCCATAATTATGGAATTCTACGGGATCTGAGGGATTCCATGGGATCTGAAGAATATACATCATCCCTCCTGAGGTGAAATTGGCCCCATCCTCGATATCCTTGTGGAAGGCTCTCAGAATATGGCTGTGTTAGCAGGCTTGGGGATCTCACGGAAATGGTGATCTAATGAGATGGCTGCCTTGCTTTTAACATCAATTTTCTCTACTGTCTTGCTGTTAATAATATTGTTGATGTTTTTCATTGTACTTGTTTTAATATTTTGATTTTATGATTGTTTTTTTATTATGCGCTGCCTAGAGTCACTTTTCTATGAGATTGGTGGCTATTATAAATCTGATGAATAAAAATAATAAGGAATAAAAATTAACAAAAGAATTATAGTTATTCTAGTTCTACTAGCATTCGTAATCAAGTATACAGCTCTACGTTCTGCTCTTTCATTAATCTATTTGCTATTAGTCTTGAGCTGTTTTTCCTAGGTTCATAAAATTTCTGCATTAAATCAGTGCAGAATCAAGTACTTTGAATTATTTTCTTGTTTATGATATATATATATATATATATATATATATATATAAAATATATATATTTTATATATATATTTATATATATATATATTTATATATATATTTATATATATATATATTTATATATA